TATATATACATATCATAAAAAAGCTAAATTGGTACATCCCTAAATGCATTCTTGATAAGCTACAAAGTTTCTGTGAGGTGTTGTACAGATGAGATTAAACGGAAACGTTTTGGAGAATGGGTCCATCGGTTCTGTTCACAGGCCCAAAACCTCAGAGCATTTATTTTCCTGAAGGAACTCTGTTGATCTCACAAAATTTGATGTGAGCATGAGCATCACAAGCTGCACCCCGAGGCGCCATCTTCTCCCATCAAGACATTTGGATCAAAGCAAAAAGAACAACAACAACAACAAAAAAAACTGCTTAAAACATTAAAACAGCATGGTTCATTACGTCTGTACTCATGGAGTCTGCGGCAGCTTTCAGTAGCAATTCTAGGCCGTTTTAGGGGTGGTCAAGTATGGCAATCCAGAAGTGACACAAAACACCACCTTTATCACGTGTTTAGCTAATAAGACGACATGACAAATGCTGTTTTATTAGTCAGGATGCTGTTTTTTTAATGAAGTTTGAGCCGCCAGAACGCAGTTTTGAAATTGCCTTCTGACCGGCGTAAAAAACGACATTTTCTCTGGTCAGTGAAAGCTTCTTACAACAGTGTAAGGGATTCTGTTGCAATAAAAAAAAAAAACCAAAACACTGCTTATTTTGTTCCCACATTTAAAACGCTGTTTTAACAGCTTCTTTTAACAGTTGATTCAATTCAATTCAATTCAATTCAATTCAATTCAATTCAATTCAGTTTATTTATACAGCGCTAAGTCACAACATATGTTGTCTCAGGTCTGTGTGGCGCCTGTGTGACGTCACAGCACTAGCAGCAACATACAGCACATTTTGAACAAATAACAAAATTCAAAAGTAGTAGCCATAGTTAAACCCAAAGAGAGCAACACAAAGATGTTTTTAGACCAAATATTGTAGATTTAAACAATTTTAGACCAAAATGTTGAATTTTGGTCATCAAAAGAAAGGTATTACCCTTGGGGCACAGTTTAGACAGTTTATCTGAAAAAAAAAAGTTGATTTTGGGGGTAAGTTCCTCTTACACATTAAACACACAAAGCCACAATCAAGCTAACTTTTTCCCTAAAGGTTCTAACCCCCTTTCTCTCCAGAGCACATTTATCATTTTTCTGATTTCAGCCGTAGAGATGGTTTAGCTGCTTTAAATGTGTTTGTCTGAGAAAACAGGATGTGTCAGATGGATAATCTAAAAAACTCCTCAGAGCAGGATTAACCTGCTTTATAATTTAACACAGCTTCTGAACATTTAACAAACTAAACAAGTAAAATGTGTCAGGTTTCCCCACTTTCTAAAATCAAATTAAAAAGGACAAAAGACAAATCCCAGATTTAGTTTGGACATTTTTTTTACAAGACTTGGAAATTTCCAACTTGGTTTCACACTCATTTTGAAGATATTTAACACAAATATTCTCTAAAAAAAATCATCTGTAGGTTCCAGAGACAGTAATTAAAATGTAGTGTTGCTGTTCTGGTTTTATTATTTTAACAACTTAACTGTCCCACTGTCTTAGTGGGGTCATATGAACCTGACCGATGGTGGGCACAGTTCCCCTAAAGCACTAGGGGAACTAATTTCCTGATTAGTGCTTTAGTTTTTTTTTTAATGTATTAGTGGATTAGCACTTGCTAAATTTAGAAGCACTAACTGAGGTTCATAAATGTTACTGATCAACATTAATGTTAACAGCTGAGGGTGAAAGGCTGTCACATATTTTGTTCATATGTGTGTCACTTATCCACTAAGTAACAATATATTGACAACATATGAACTCAAATACAGCTGTGAAATGTCAATGATAAGTCTTTAGAGAGCAACATGACAATTTGTGACTCATGTTGTCTGTTGAAGAATGTTCATGGGTTGACTGGGTTATTTTAATGCTTTAGAATTAGCTTTTGCTAAAACTTTTAGTGCATTAGTGCTTTAGAATTAGGGAACATGAATACTTGACTTAGTGCCTTAGGGCTAGTGGAACTAATTTTTAGATTAGTGCTGCCCACCACTGGACCCCACTCATGTAGGGTGTGGTGGTGGGGTCCTCCTGACCCCCACCTGATTAGGTGGGGGTTGGGGTGGGGGCAAAGGGTGGGGGGTCGTTGGGTGGTGTTCATAGGTGGCCTGGCTCATTCCCCAAGAGGCATCTGTGACTTTTACTTGCTAGCTTTGTTAGCTCTGAGCAAAGAGAGCTGACCTGCACCATCAGAAGCTGAGAACTTGTTTTGATAAAATTGTACAAAACAGAACAGTGGATGGAGAGTTAGTCTGCAAACATTTAGTTAACTTCAGCAGATCTAAAGCTGTATTTTTAGATCTGTCGCAATGACTGGAAATATTCCTCAGGTTTAACTTCACACTTCACTCACTACAACTCTTAAGCAGCTTATTGTGTGATAGACACCAATAACAGCTTATAAAAAAGTTTATTAACAACAGCAAAATGTTTCATTTACACCAACAATCTTTTATGAAAAAAACAACAAACTCAAAAGTTACAACAGAATTATTTTTAAAAAGTGTTTGACTGGAGTTCCCTCTTACTCACAACGCAGCAGTTAAAACAATGAGAACAAATTACATCACCTTATACTTCAGAATGAGAAACTGCACTTTGGGAACTTTGTAAGTTTGAGAAACTCTAAAAGTCCAAATATCAGAGATAAATATTTGTCAGAGCAGACAGGATGGGAGGTTTAGTCGGTTATAATGAGCTCATCACAGCCCCAGTCCTCATAACTCCCATCAGGGAGGTACCTGCGAATGATGATGGGGATCTTTCTGCTCCTGTTGGAGACAACAAACAATAATGAGATGCAAAGCGACTGTACAGAGCCTTTCTAACCAACCAGAGGGCTAATTCACAAAACTAGGATAGGAGATTAAGCCRGGACTTTTCAGATATCCTGTCTGAATTACACCTCAATTCAGTTTCATAGAAGGAGTGGTGCATAAGTTACCATGACAATTTATTCTGTGTGGCTAGCCTGCTCCAGATCAGGCTAACAGCCAGGCTTGGTCAAGCCTGGTGTCTAATCTATTCAGTTAGTGGTCACACCCATCAGAAACCAATGTGTTTCTCAGTGGTTCTGTCTGTTTTGGACATTTTTTTAAAATCAGCCTGCAATAAAATACCACTGATTCATGACAGGTACTATTATTAACATTATGATGGTTATCATTATATATTTTATAATTCTCCATGTGGGCATTGTTACTGTTTGAATGTGTTTCTGAATACTGTTATTCTAAGTTTGACAGAAAGGCCTTTATAAACTATSACATGTTGGGGGGATTTGAGGAATGACTGATAAGAAACAAAGGTGTTGTCAGTGAAGTCAAACCATATATGTAGCTCCAAACATGTTTACAATGACGTGCCCATGTTTGAATGACTGTCGATGGTGAAGCACTTGTATTGAGAAGGGCTTTCAGACAGGAAAGAGTGTTTCAGGACAGGTCCGACCGTTGGCTTTTCCCTACAATTACCTTCATGAGAATTACTGTTTTTCTGATGATGGCATCCTCTACCTGTGCAGACTGCTGGGTCCTAAACGTCAGCATGGTACTGAGTGGTCCGTATCATACTTAGAAATGTGTGATTGCATATTCAGTAGTGGAATGATAGACCATGTATCAAGGGGGCAGTTTCTATGGGTGGGACACAGTCAGTGGCTGCCCCCACACAGCTCTTCCAAAACAGGCCTCCCTTTAAAATCAAGGGCTGGCTCGTCTGCTGGTGTGAATTATGGGGATGGTGAGCCACTCCCTGTGCCAACACGAGTCTTTTTTTAAATGGCTAAATAAATACATAAATACAGGGATTAAATATGTGAACAGCATCTTCTAAGTCATTAGTAAAAGTCATTAGTACACTGTAGTCAACATTTTTCCAGGTATTTACCAGTCTGCAGAAAGTTTGTACTGTAGAAATATTGATAAGATGTGAACAAAAAAGAGCAAATGACAGGTAAATCCTTGAATATGATAGGCTTTCTGTTCAGAGTGGTTTGTTAGAAAATGTTTATTTTAGGCATTCAGTAGATCCACTGTTGTTGCCATGCCCTCTGTCACTCTATAATAGCAGAAGTTTCCTTTCCTTTCTTTAATATGACACGCTTCATTTTCTCATGTAAGTTTCAGAACAGTTTCCATGAGGCCATAGTTTGACGCTCCAAAAAAACCTCCTCGGGACCACAGTGTTCAAGTTTTAACTTTGTAACTCAAAAACAAACAAACAAAAAAAATACAAAATATACATCTACAAAATCCAAACATAATTAAAAAAAAAAACTTCAAAAAAGATGAGAGAGAAACAGGTTAAAAACTGTCTGGCTCCATGCCTGTCCTCCCTCCTCATGAACTAACCCCCCACTGTTTCTAAGCTCAATAAATTCATAGACTGAAGTCATTCAAATATGCATGTAAATAACATGTCATCTTTTCAAATATCAATTTTAAAATTATTATTGAAAACACACAAATATTAACTTTTAGCTATATCAATATCAGTATTTATTTTTTACCCTTTTTAACTTTAATAAACAAACAATAGGGCATTTTAAGCTCCTACACCTCATAAAGCTCCATCAAAAGATGTTCATTTGATGTGAAGTATGGAGCACACAGTTCATTCATTGTAGACTCAGTGAATCTGTGATCGATCTCATGGCCTTCTGTGGACGAGCATTTACCTGGATTACTTACACCTGGCTTGGTATAGCTGCACCTCTTCAGCCTGGTTTGGTCTTTGTGAAACATATGAAGCCAGGATGAACTGATCAAGTTATGTCAAGACTTGATTTATCTCTTATCTTGGATTTCTCAATCCTGCTTTTGTGAAATAGCCCTCAGGCTACTCAGAGCATTTTACAACACAATCTGAGATGAAACCTCCAACTGTCACACTGGAGGATGCTGAACCACAGCTGGCCCAAAGCAAATGAAGACAAACAAGTATTGAAGGAATTAAATGTGTCTTACTTGAGTTCTTTCATAGCGATCTGCAGAGGGTCTGTTTCTCCCTCCAGTTCCACCATAACAGGAGCGCACATCCTGTTAGAAACAACAGTCACAATAAAATGAGCAGTCTGAATTCTTTAAGGAAACGAGCTGACATGAAACATTAAAGAGAATCCATAATGTCGAGATGTACTGCCAAGAAGCATTGTTACAAAGAAATAAACTACCAAACACACATTTTCTTACTTTTTGTGTAAAGTTTATATATTATTTCAACTGCACTAGAGGAATCATATTATTTGTAACTGCATTTAAATTTACTGTATGAAAAATATCAAACACCACAACTTGTTTCACTAAAAATAATGTGAGAAACATTTTTATGTAGTTTAGTAAACTGCATACAGTTAGGTCCATATCTACTTAGAAACAACATTTTCTGTACAATACCATAATTATATATATATAYACAAACTGAACCAAACTTTTCAGATGCAGTTGAAGTTCAGACTTTCAGCTTTAATTCAGTGGGTTTAACAAAATGATTGCATAAAAATGTGAGGAACTAAAGCATCTTTTAAATAATCCCTTCATTTCAGGGGTTCAAACATAATTGGATAAATTAAATAATTGTAAATAAAATGTTAATTTCTAGTACTTGGTTAAAAACCCTTTGTTGACAATGACTGCCTGAAGTCTTGAACTCATGGACATCACCAGGGCCCGTATTTATAAAACTTCTTAGAATTACTCTTAAGAATGCTGCTAAGAGTGGACTTAAGTGTAAAATAATTCTTAGTGATAAGCTGAGAGTAAAAGTCAGTTAACAAGCGTCGCAGTCTTACTTTAAGYGAAGTGTAGGAGTAATTCTTAAGTGTCAGTCTTAGAGCTGATTTGTGACACCTGGCTGTGCTGCAAAGCTGATCCTGGATATTGTAGTTAGAAAACCCCCCGACATGGACCAATCACTGCCTCGGATTTCATGTTCAAGAATATTGTCAGAGAAATGTCAAGATAAGACTGTGAAAATGCTAAGATAAGTTCACTTTCAACACAGTAATGTTGTCACTTTGTCTGTAAATTACATAAACTGTTCTCATTTGCATCATGAGGACAGATTTTTTTTTGATCAAAAACTCAGCAGCTTTGAAGTTTTTTGTCTCAGAGCCTGAGATAATGTTGAGCAGCTCCCTCCTCCTCTTCGTCACTGTCAGACAACACCAGCTTCACACACACATGCAMRCACACAACCCCGCTCCGTCAACAGCTTGGTCCAAGAGGAGTGTGCATCCATTTACACATTTACTGTGTTCTCCTCTGTCTTCAGTCCATCTCAGACCCCTAGTGGCAACTCTTAACCACTGAAGAGTCCTCTGGAGCAGTCTTAACTTTTCTTGAGAGTAAGAGTGATTCTTAGACTTAAGAATTTTAATAACTGGCACTTACATTTAAGTCTGTGAGTAGGAGCAAATCTAAGAAATTTTCAGCACTGAAGTCTAAAAATCCACTGTAAGAAGTTTTATAAATACGGGCCCAGATGACTTGGCCATTCAAGAATATTCCACTTCTTTGCTTCAATAAACTCCTGTGTTGCTTTGGCTTTATGTTTTAGATCATTGTATGACGAAATGCAGACCAATTAGTTTGGCTGCATTTGGCTGGATCTGAGCACACTGTCTGTCCCTGAATACCTCAGAATTCATCCAGCTGTTTCTGTCCTGTCACATCATCAATTAACACTAGTGACCCATGGTCAGGAAACTGTGCAGGCTTTTTTTAGATGCCTTTTTTTATTAGCCTTTTTATTCTTGAGGCTTATGACTAGCTTACAGAGTGCAGTGAACTATCTGTATTTACTTTCATGCAGTCTTCTCTTTATGGTAGATTTTGATACAACTACCTCCTGAGTGTTGTTCACTTGGTTGGCTGCTGTGAAGGGGTTTCTCTTAACTTTAACTTGAATATGTTTCAGTAAACAGGTAAAAAAAAACAACTTTGTGTCAGTGTACAAATAGATATGGACCTAACTTTATGTAGCTCAGATAAGAGTAAAATAATTGGGTCATTTTGTAACAGTATGGTTTCCTCACAACAATCACCACCTCTGTAGCATGTGTGTAAAAACACTCACGCTATCTGCAGGGCCCGGGTTCCCAGCACTCTGGCCCGCTCATATTTGGTCATGTACGGTGTGGTGATCCTCTTCTGGTTGGCCTGCTGGCCCTCACCTGCAGGCAGGATCTGCACATTCTCCTGATCCTCCTGTTCAGAACAGCAAAACATTCTACAATCTGAGCAACTTCCATAAAAAAAGCAATGGGCCGTTCACACAAACAGATTTGTTCAAGTTGTGCGTATGAGTGATTTAAGAGAACTTATGGCATTCACCAATTTTGTCGCATTGTAAGATTTTTTTTTTGATACAAACAAAATTTACATGTGGTCCAGACCTGTCGTATATTTTATGAGCAGTCAGTCTGCTGTTATCCAGACTGATTTTCTTCACAAATAACCTTATATATTTTTAGTTTGAAGATATTTTGAGTTGAAAATAAATCACACTCTATAATTATGTTGACAATAAGCTATATTCTGTTTGAACTGGAATTATAATTTTAAATGTAATAATGTAGACTAACGATATAAATTGGTTAACTTAAAGTAAATTGGATATTAATGCTGTTGTATAGCACTACAATATTAATATGAAGATCTCAAACTAAAAACCAACTTAAACTATACATTAACTGAAGTTAATTTGTCTCGGAATGATGTCAACAGGAAGTGAACATAATCAACAGCTTTATTCGGACATAGATTAGGGTTTTTTTGTCAAGTGTATTTTAAGGCCCACAAGCAGTATAATCTGATGGGCTCACTGCCAAAATTAGCCTTTTTTTATTCCAATAAAACTGCAAAAGATATTTATTTTTCAATCAGTTTGAAGAAAGTTTGTATTATTTGCTCAGTTGATTTTAGCAGCATCTTATAAAATGGGTTTTAATATAATATGGGAATTTTTTTCTGATATCAAAACATATTTACACAAAACCTGACTATCTTATTGTTTCACCTCGTTGCCCTTTAGCAGTTTTAGTCACTTTGTTGAGACTTTTGTGGGTCTAAACAGGAGCCCACTTCCGACATGAACCGATCTGTATCTTTAGTGTCCAACACGGMACAAATATGCTCACCAACGTGCATTTAAAACCATTAAGCTCTACAATTCATCAAAAATATTAGATTCATAAGAAATTAAGAAAATAAGAAATTCATAACAAATAAAAATGCATAACTATCTGAGATGGTAGGGGCTATATAAATTCAAGTCCATAACGCGTGTATGTTCTGAAAAGAACTTACATCTTCGACATTTTCCAGGTCGTCCAACCCTTCATCCTCCTCGACGTCATCAAAATCGCCATCATCAAAACTAAAATAGCAATAAAATGTTTTAAAGAGCAGGAACTGCTGTCTTTGCTTATGATTAGTTAGCCGTTAGCACACATGTCGGCTTTTTGTCAAGAMGAACATTAATACAAATGTATTTACTTACTTATCTTCGTTGTCCGACATGTTTTATTCTTAGRTTCGTAAAAAAAATCCTCTCAGTTCTTTTTAACTAGATGTTTTATTGAGTAATATGCAAACGTAACCCACACGGTGCGACAAACTTCCGGCTATTTGGTACGTCGGCAAATGTGTCTCTCGACGCTAAAGCAGCATCAACTTTCTGTTCCGCTTCATCTTCTGTCTTTTATTTGGCGGTTGGCAAACAACTTTTAGGTACATTACCACCATCTTCTGAATTGGAGCATGGATCTACACACACACACACACACACACACACACACACACACACACACACACACACACACACACACACATCATGGAGGTATATCTAACAGGGTTCTTATTCAAGTCTATGATATACGTAAATATTTTTTATATATAAACTACATTCTCTTTAAAATTCCTGTTCTTAAGAAATAAAACATTACCAAAAGCTAAATCTCCTGAAAGTCGGAGATCGAACCCAGGACCTTCTTGCTGCGAGATGTCGGTGCTAACCACTGAGCCATCGTGCTGCCATAAATGACAGTAGGAACGTAAACCGACCAGTAAACCAAGAGCTGAGCCAGAAGGCGTTGCTCCCGCTTCACCATGACTGACCGGTACAGCGCCCACATCACTGCAGACGCAGCACCAATCCGCCTGTCGATCTCCTGCTCCATTCTTCCCTCATTCGTGAACAACACCCCGAGATACTTAAACTCCTCCACTTGGGGAAGAACCTCCTCCCCGACCCGGAGAAGGCACTATACCATTTTCCRGCTCAAGACCATGGTCTCAGATTTGGAGGCACTGATCCTCATCCCAGCCGCTTCACACTCGGCTGCGAACCATTCCAGTGAGAGCTGGAGATCACGATCTGATGAAGCCAATAGGACCACATCATCCGCAAAAAGCAGAGATGTGATCTTAAGATCACCAAAACAGATCCCCTCAACACCTTGGCTGTGCCTAGAAATTCTGTCCATACAAGTTATGAACAGAATCAGTGACAAAGGGCAACCCTGGCGGAGTCCATCTCTCACCGGAAACGAGTCCGACACACTACTGGCAATGCAGACCAAGCTCTAGCACCATTCGTACAGGGACATAACAGCCCGTATCAATGGGCCTGGTACCCCATACTCCTGGAGTACCCCCCACAGGAGTCCCTGAGGGACATGGTCCAACACCTTCTCCAAGTCCACAAAACACATGTAGACTGGTTAGGCAAACTCCCATGTACCCTCCAGGACCCTGCTGAGGGTGTAGAGCTGGTCCGCTGTTCCACGACCAGGACGAAAACCACACTGCTCTTCCTGAATCTGAGATTCGACTATCCGACGGACCCTCCTCTCCAGGACTCCTGGATAGACCTTACCTGGGAGCCTCAGATGTGTGATCCCCCTATAGCTGGAACACACTCTGTGGTCCCCCTTTTTAAATTGGGGGACCACCACCCCGGTCTGCAAATCCAGGGGAAATGCCCCTGATGTCCATGCGATATTGTAGAGTCACGTCAACCAACGCAACCCTACAACATCCAGAGCCTTAAGGAACTCCGGGCAAATCTCAACCGCCTTACCACCGAGGAGCTTTTTAACCRCCTTAGTGACCTCGGCACCAGAGATTGGAGAATCCAACCCAGGGTCCCAAGGCTCTGCTTCCTCATGGGAAGACGTGTCGGTAGGATTGAGGAGGTCTTCGAAGTATTCCGCCCACCGACCCACAATGTCCTGAGTTGAGGTCAGCAGTGGTGAACCGCTTTCCCCTCCTGAGATGCGGGATGGTGGACCAGAATCGCCTCGAAGCCGTACAGAAGTCTTTTTCCATGGCCTCTCCGAACTCCTCCCACGCCCAAGTTTTTGCCTTAGCGACCACCCGAGCTGCAATCCACTTGGACTGCCAATACCTATCTGCTGCTTCCAGAGTCCCACAGGCCAAAAAAGACCTGATAGGACTCTTTCTTCAGCCTGACAGCATCACTCACTGAGGATGTCCACCAGCAGGTTCGAGGGTTACCGCCACAACAGGCACAGACAACCTTACGGCCACAGCTCARGTAAGACGCTTTGACAATGGAGGTACGGAGCATGATTTGTTGAATTTCAGCTGCCTGTTTCCTCAATATGCAACCTCCATACATTGTAGTATGGTTTCCCCCATGGTTACAACATTTAATGGGGTTATTCCCACATTCACCACCATTCACATRTGTTCGGCCCCACATCTACCACACCTCTGTTTTCCTTTACAGACATTAGAAGTATAATTTATAGCATCACAGAGGAGGTGGAACATAAACCCTTACATCATAACCTTATCAGGAAGTACTTCATCTCTGAATTCCAGTAGAATGGATGTATGATGCCTTCATTGTCATTGTATGGAGCACAATGAAATTACTGTCTACTTTTCCTCAATTTCTGAAAGCCTGCAGCCTTCTTACTCCTGAAATATATCTTCCTTTAATTACTTTCTTCAACTCATCAAGATTTTCTCATGTGAATTCCTGAAATCACTTCTTTTGCCCCCTTTTTCTCCCATAACCTTTCTTTCCATTACTTCTCTTTTGCATACCACAGCATTTTTACAAATAATGAGCAGACTCCCATCTCTCAAAACTTATAGCTCTACATCTCCTAATGCTTTTTTTTAATCCATTTGTTAGTATAATAGGACTTATTCCCACCATTTCTTGTCCTGCTTTAAAATTTTTGAAATAACCTGGAAAATCTTCCATCATAATCTTAATTTCAATTTTTTCTTCCTCCTCTTTAAGAGCTCGTTTCCCATTATACCCTTGTTTCTAAACTTCTTTCCCTCCTCCTCCTGTTTGATTTCTCACTATAGCCCCAGCTACATCCATATCTTCATCCTCTGAAAGCCCACTGCTATAACTAGCCATTCCGATCCATTCACAATTACGCCAAATCTGCCTTCAATAATAATAATAACTCTTTTATATTTCTTTTTACAATTTAGTTCATTAGGACTATTGTAACTTGCACACAGCATATCAGGTAATGACAAATATGTTTATATTAATTTTTTTCATCTAAAGACGATCATGTCAACATTTGATACAAACATTTCTTCAAGTTTACAGGGTCTGTCCCATGGTTCTCTTCCCAGTGGGTTGTGTTCAGAAATGTCTTCAGAGTTGAGCGTTCAGGAGGCAAAATGTCACAGATCTTGTTCTTTTGCTTATGATCTTTATCTGACCACAGATAAGGGTTGGAATGTAGACAGATCTCTAAATCTGAGTACTCATGATGACTTTTGGTTCAGCTCCTTTTTACAGCAAACCAACATCCTCAACCACCTCCTGCTCCGTCCTGTGATCACTCATAAACAAGACTCCTGAACTCCTCAGATTAAAGGCAGACACTCAGAAGGAGCTTTCTACTCTATTTGAAAGCGATGACCTCAGACTTTATGGAACTCTTATCTCAGCTCCATCACATTTGGCTGCAGACTACTCAGAAGATGCTGAAGGTCAAGGCCTGAAGAACCACATCATCTCCAAAAAGCAGAGATTCTGAGGTTCTCAAACCTGAGCCCTTCCTCCCCAAACTTTTTTTAAATCATGCAGCTTAGACAGAGACAACGTAAAGAAAAATACATTTATTCTCACAGGCGTGTGAAGAAATACAGATTGGCAAATATTAATGTATAATACTGGATGAGGAAATGTTCCAAAATCTGCCAACAAGCAGCACATGAACACGAGTAAAGAAATAAAACAATAAAAGAGTAAGGATCTGTTCCTTCCATTTTGGCATCAAAGGCATATTTACTAAAAACTGGATCAAACAAATTGTGCCAGGAGTTTTTTTAATATAAAAAAAATTTAAAAAAAAAAGGAAGAACATTTGGGCAAAAGTAGATTCAGGTAAATGAGTTTGTCTGCATATTTCACTATAAAACCTCTCTTGTATTTAAAAACATTAGGTATTATGACAGTTTTTCAGTCCTTGTTCTCCGGTTTTTAGTTMCGCTTTTTTAAAAATTTTGTTATCCCTTTTTGCTTCTTCGGCTCCTTGAGTCCTTCCTTCTGGAAATCTGAGCAGAGATGTTGAAATATAAACACCAGGACATATTTTGAAAAGTAACTTTGTCAAATAATACATGAATTCCTCACCTTTGTTACTCATCCAGTTTTTGCAGAACACGTCATCATTTTCTCTAATGAGAAAAAAAAAACATTACTTTGGAATCTGTTCAGATGAATTTAACCCTCAGTGGTACTGTGTTGTCTCCAGCCTATTTTAACATCTTAAAATAAAATGAAACACGTTTAATTAGTCAGAGCTAATACAGAGGAGGGGAACACAAATACTAACCAACAAAATGTGAAACAGCAGCCACAGGAGGCACAGGGCTTTAGTTGAAAGTCTCACACAGAAACCATTTCTTCTACAGAAATGTGCAGTTTTCACAATAACCCCCCCCAAAAAATCACATAAAAAAATATCAACCACCGTCAGTGGTTAGGAAATAAGTATTTTAAAGTATTTTTATGATATTTTGTCAAATATGTAAGTAAATAAATAAATAAGTTGTCCTGAGGCAACATTGTACCATAAAGGAAATATCATAAGGCGATTCAGATATACAAAGTTGGAACATAAATTGAGTAAAAATTAGTTCGTGGTTTACAATATTTTTCGATGTTATAATGTGGATAAAAGTAATGAATAATGTTCTACATTGGAATGACACTGGTAGTAATTTTTAATGGGCTATGATATGATACTTTGGTTTTATTTGTTTTATGATGATAGATTGTGACAGGAGAGCAACATTTAGATATAGAAATGTGCCTCTTTACTAAATCTGAAACATGTAATGCATGGAAAATGTATTAAATCAGTTTTTTTTAGTTTTTGGTTCAAGAAATTGATGTTTACATTAAATATATATTCTTGTTTTTGCATTACAATATCATTTGGTTTGTCCGTTATGGTGCAACGTTGTGTCGGGGCAACAAATTTTTATTTAATAAATAAAAATTGTTGATAATGTTATAGTGACTTATTTTAAGCAAGAAAAAGCTCACAAATGTTTTTTTTCCTATTTGATACCATAATGCGTAGCATAGAGGGTTTAATACATCTGTTACCTCCGCAAATCCTGATCCAAGCTGCTGATAATCTGGTTCCTCTGTTCAATGATGGTGACCAGTTCATCCATCAGCTGCTGCTCCTGATCCCGATCCTCTTGACTCCAGTCTTTCTCTGAGCCGGAGCAAAAATCAACAAAACTAATCAATCCTTAGTTGTGTTTTATTCCCCTAAGGCTTATATGCAAGAGCTAACAGATAAATCTCTGTGAAAGGTTTTCACACTCACAGACATAAATGTGAGATGAGATTTTTTTTGTAAACGGATGAAATCAATGAAGAAATAAAACAAAAAATAAAATCAACTATGAAGATTAACAGATGTGTAAAACCAGACCAGGTTTGTTGAGAAGACATCGGAGCTCGTACTCCACATCTGCCTGTCTGTCCTCCAGCTTCTGTTGTTTCATCCTGAGTGAAGGTGCAGCACACAAAAAGATTTTCCCAACAGAAGCAGCTTCTAAAATCGTCAGAACTAAATCTTTTGTCTCGTCTCCTCACAGGTAGACCAGTTCTTTGTCTTTGTGCAGCGTGACGTGTCGCTCATGGAAAAGCGAGATCCACTCCATTAGCTTTTGGTCTCCATCTTTACCTAAAATAAGAAACGTGGCAGACTGTCAGAACACAATACACAAGCAGGAATAAACCTGTGCAGGTCAAAGTGCTTTAATTAGAACTCATGAGTTGTTCTGACTGCTTTTACCRTCCCTGATGTTCTTTTCCAGTTCCACTCCTCGTTGTTCCAGTTCTGCTAAAAGCCCGTCCAGTTCCCTCCTCTGCTTCTGCAACTGGTCCAGGCAGACCGACTGTTCTGACTGCACCTGTAAGTAAGTAAAGTTTTATTTATATAGCGCCTTTCACAAAAATAAATTCAAAAGGTGCTGTACATTCAGGGAAGGGGGGAGGGGGCAGTTAAGAAACACTCATTCAAGAAGACATACAAGGCAAACATGGGGGAACAGGTGAAATAGGTCATGCAGCAAACACAGTTGTGCTACCTTTAACAACAGGAAAACTAAAAACCACACCAGCTGAGGAAAAAAAATCAACAAATGACTCAACTTCAAATCTGCAACATACATTTAGCTCTTTTGTTTTTGACTAATGGTGCGTTCACACCGAACGCGATTTCAGCGTCAAAATCGCAGCCAACGCTGAAGTTTGAAGCTTGTGCACTTTGAGGTCAGACGCAGGACACCTGCGCTGCATGGCGACAGTCTCCCCGCCCCTCCCTCCTCTGTGGGGCTGTTTAATGTCGGACGAGGAAGTGGCTTTGCTTTATTTACAGAGAGCCAGAGCGTGTCACGTTCATCAGATAATTAATTCATAATTAATTCACCAGATAATTCAGAGAAGAGGCTCACAGCTGCTTTCAGGACTATTTTTTTCAGTCTGATGAGCCGCTGCCACGCATTGCTGCGGATCAGGACACGACTGCAGGCACTGGATTTCAGCTAAAGAGCTCCTCTCCGTCTGTTTCAGGTTAGTGGACATCATTCAGTAAACTGTCCCGTCGGGAAATATGTCACTACGTCACACAGTGGAGTCTCTCTGATTGGTTGACGCTGCGCGTCGAGCTGCAAAAGTTCAGATTTTCTAACTTCAGCGATTTGCGCCTCAGCGCGTCGAACGCTCAGATCGTTCAAATCGTTCAAATCGCGCTGCTCTAATCGCGCTTGAGGCGCCGCAGAACTTCCCGACGTTGCTTGAAGCGCGTCCACCATAGACTTTGCATGTAAACCTGCTGCTCCTGATGCTGAAATCGCGTTCGGTGTGAACGCACCATAAGGCTGGCAAAGAAATGTTACATAGACCAAAGTTCAGATTGCAGGTTTCTGTGCTGCTTAAAAAGAAAAATCGATAAACATTTTTATTTAAAACATTTTTCCTGAATTTTTGAAATACCACAAAAGTCTTGAATTTACAAAAACAGCCAACAAATTTGCATAACTTATGTAAAATACATAAAATTTGTAAAAATACATTTTGAAACGTTCCATAATTTTGAATTTGTGCAACTATTTTCATGTAAAATTCAAAGGTTAGTTAAAATCAGTGACAAATTACATGTAAAAAGTGACTTCCTTTTTTATCAGATTAGTTTGTTTATAAATAGATCTCTGGCTTTATTTTAGACATTTTTTTACTACAATTAATTACTTCCTCAGTTTGAAAGTCACAAGTTCATCTTTGTGACCCTGATCAAAGCTGAATTTATGCATTTAAACCCACTTGCYAGTATTACATTGATATATTTTTATTTATTGATTTTGACACTTTTTAAGCAGTTGAACACTTTTTAAAATGAGCAACGTCTTGTTTTATTCCCATGAATATCAATTAAATACATAAATTATCTAACAGTTTATAGGAAAACAAACTTATTTCAATTTAACTAAACGTTTTGAAAAATGTTTTTACTGTTTTTATAGATAATTTTATTTTTTATTACTCATGAAAACCCTAATTTAAAAATCAATCATCAATGTAGAATTGAGGTTAAAAAACGTATTTTTACTCTGTTTTAACTTCACAGCACTTGCACAGCAGCTGCTGAAAAACCAGTTTTATTTTTTCAGTGTGTTCTAACCTGAGATCGTAAAMCAACACTTAACTAAAACCTTCTGAAGTTTGGTTTAAATGTATCCACTGTACCTTCCTCCTGATAAGGGGGAAACCATGACCTRGAGCCAGACCACGAGTGGATGAAAGGTTCTGTAAAGTCCGTCCTTTGGAGAGTCCAGGTTCTTGAGCAGCAGGACTGTCTTTACAGGCTGACTACACATGAAAAACAGATTAATCCTCTTATCAGAACAAACTGAGAATAAACTTCTATAAAATCTAACATGAAATCCAACATTTATTTCAGCGTTTCTCCTGAAGCAGCTGCTTCTACCTCTCTGTTAGTCTGCTGATGATCGGATGGGATTGCTGGCCCAGAAAGACTTCTGGGTAAAGGATGTTTCCGTGCTGATGTGGCATAAAGAGCTGTGGTTGTTTCCTTCACACCGATCTGAGCCGGTCCTCCCTCTCTGAGCCCATCTGATGTTCTTCCTCCATCCAGMTCAGAGCTGGTGATGGGATCTTCTGTCTCACTTGAACCAACCATATCTGTGACCCCGCTGTTCTCTGATTGGACAGCTATCTCTGAGAACTCTGGTTCAGGAACCTCCCCGTGACCCTCTTCGACTTCCTCCTCTTCAAAYGGATTGGGAGGAGCAGGAACTTTGGGTCTGTTTGGTGACCCCTGCGGGTTAGACGCTGATTTGGCTCTAGAGAGCGGTACTGGAGGTGGAGCCAGAGGGAGCTGTGTCCAGGGTCCAGGATGGACCAGGTTCATCCACGGGTGGTTGCTTTTCACTTTAGGGCTTGAGTTGTTATGAAARGTGCAATGAAGGGAAAAAGAAAAGAAGAAAGTAGAGGTTGGACTGCATTGACCATACGTAAAACCTGTTAGCATGACAAACAGGATAATAACAGATTTGTTAAATGATTGGTTTTATTGTAACAACTAAAAAAGCAGCTTGTTAAATATTAAATTTATGATTTCAGTTCTTGTTTTAATCTAACATGAAGTCAAYGTAATCTTTTCCAACTGACTCAACTTCATTCAACTTCCAAACTTCAGTGGTTTGGTTAAACTAAATTTTCACCAAGTTTTGCTAATTTTAGTCATGTTGATCTTGTTTACTCAGTTTGACAGTTTTTTTTACTTATTTAATCAGATTCAGACGAGTAACACAAGTAAAGTGTTTATTCTTTCAACGAAACCAAGGGGATATCAAACTTACATAACGTGAATTTGAACTGTTTTGAAAATACCTACGAAAAAGAAAACATTGACCAAGAAATGTAATTTGAGACACTCAAAATAGAAGAATCTGTCTCAACACAAATAGCTAGAATAATATACACTCACCGGCCACTTTATTAGGTACACCTGTCCAACTGCTCATTAACGCAAATGTGGAATCAGCCARTCACATGGCAGCAACTCAATGCATTTAGGCATGTAGACATGGCCAAGACGATCTGCTGCAGTTCAAACTGAGCATCAGTATGGGGAAGAAAGGTGYTKGAAGTGCCTTTGAACGTGGCATGGTTGTTGGTGCCAGACAGGCTGGTCTGAGTATTTCAGAAACTGCTGATCYACTGGGATTTCCACCCACAACCATATATAGAGTTTACAGAGAATAGTCAGAAAAAGAGAAAATATCCAGTGAGCAGCAGTTCTGTGGGCGSAAATGCCTTGTTGATGCCAGAGGTCAGAGGAGAATGGTCAGACTGGTTCGAGCTGATAGAAATGCAACAGTGACTCAAATAACCACTCGTTACAACCGAGGTCTACAGAAGAGCATCTCTGAACACACAACACGTCGAACCTTGAGGCRGATGGGCTACAGCATCAGAARACCACACCRGGTGYCACTCCTKTCAGCTAAGAACAGGAAAATGAGGCTACAGCTCACACAGGCTCACCAAAATTGGATAGAAGATTGGAAAAAATGTTGCCTGGTCTGATGAGTCTGGATTTCTACTGTGACATTCAGATGGTAGGGTCAGAATTTGGCGTCAACAACATGAAAGCATGGATCCATCCTGCCTTGTATCAATGGTTCAGGTTGGTGGTTGGGGTGCAATGGTGTGGGGGATATTTTTCTGGCACACTTTGGGCCCATTAGTACCAACTGAGCATTGCGTCAGCGCCACAGCCTACCTGGGTATTGTTGCTGACCATGTCCATTCCTTTATGACCAGAATGTACCATCTACTGGTGGCTACTTCCAGCAGGAAGCAGCTCCATGTCATAAAGCATGAATCATCTCGAACTGAAAAACCCAGTGAACATCATTTACCCAGCATGCCTTCTGTACTCGAATGGACTCCCCGGTCACCAGATCTCAATCCAACAGAGCATCTTTGGGATGTGGTGGAACGGGAGATTCACATCATGGATGTGCAGCCGACAAATCTGCAGCAACTGTGCAATCCTATCATGTCAATTTCTACTCACTACATTTTTWAAAAAGGTAAGAAGTAGAAAGTCGTTACTCTTATTTTATTCCAAGTTGTTATTACTTAAAAAAACTATTGTGATAAATTGTGTCTCCTGGATAGAGTGAATTTAACTGTGGTTGGATAAGAAGTATAAATATATACCATTCTGACACACTATTAGCTTGTACACAACCCATCACAGCTGCACGTCATTAGAAAAAATATTTTTCGGAGAAGTCACCTCCCAATAAATGTCATTTTGGAAAATCTAACTGCTCACTTTTACGCAGTACTTTTACTTTTAATACTTAAGTAGATTTTGAGTCAGAAATTTACTTTTGATACTTAAGTACAAAAAATATCAGATACTTTAAGATTTTTACTCAAGTAATATTTTTAGAGAAGACTTTAACTTTTACCAAAGTACTTTTATGATAAGATACTTGTACTTTTACTCAAGTATCACTTTGAGGTACTTTATACAACACTGAAAGTAGGTATGTATCTGGGTAGGTAGGTACAGTCATATGAAAAATTTTGGGCAGCCTTGTTAATTTTCCTGATTTACCTTTATAAATCATTGATTGTTTAGAGTAAAAATATAAATTAAATACATCATATAGGGGACAAACACAGTGATATTTGAGAAGTGAAATGAAGTTTATATGATTTACAGAAAGTGTGCAATAATTGTTTAAACAAAATTAGGCAGGTGCATAAATTTGAGCACCATAAAAAAAACCTTACCTCAATATTTAGTAGCTCCTCCTTTCAAAGGAATAACAGCCTCATAAAAAGCTTCACGTGACTCTGTGTTTCTCCTCTGTGACTCGGTCAGTCCTGAACACAATGCTGTAGCTTAGCATAACAAGATAACCCTAACCACTGAACTTCTGATAGTTTCATTCAAGTAATGAAGCATGATGAAGCTGTTTTACAGCTTTTTAAAAACACTTCTGCTCCTGCCTGAAGCTGCTGCTAGTGTCAGAGCAGGAGAGAAAAGAGAGGAGTGATGAACAAGGAAGAGATTTCTGACCACATGAGTTTCTAACTAAACAAAAAATCAACAATTTTTACAGTGCTCTGCTCTAGTTGCTGTGGTTGTTAATTCTGTTGTTTGGGAAATCTTTGATGTTTTTTTATATGACATTTTTTCTTTTTTTTTTAAAGGTTTGTTATTAGGTGAAAATCAGAGTTATACAGTATAAGAACTAGAATCCTGAGTAAGGGCTGACCATCTGAAAACTCTAATAAAATGTGTAGGCCTAATATAATAATATAATAKAATRTGTATAAGTTTTAGAATGTATAAAAATGTCTGGTAGCTGTGTGTTATGGATGTACCCACAGAAGAGAAAATGTCTCATTTCACAAATATACAGATTTGATCTTATTTACTTTGATGTGGATGTGATCTGACCAGAACTCAAGCTAATMATAACTGTTTAAAACTAAAATAAGATAATATGCAATCATTGTTATTATATTAGCTAGCATATATTAGCTTCTGTAACATACAGTCTATATTAAGAATTTTGTACAGACTAAAATTCTGAAATGTATTTTTTTAATCTCAGCTATAGTTGAGATTCTGATCACTGCAATTAGCTGCAACTAGAGCTTACATAAACAGTTTTACAAATTAACTAACTAGTTAAAGTTATATTTATTCAACTAGCTAAAAAGTCTTGAAATGATTGGAATCAAGTCATTATTGACAGACTTCAGGTCAAATTTAGATCATCATTAGTTGTAACCAATATATTTTCCTTATAAAACATATAGTTGTTTTACATTATTGTTGTATGAAATTAACATTAATTATGATTTATATTATTTATTGTAATAAAAATAATTCTGACAGATGGAGTTGGGCTTGCTGATAATCCAATAGTCTTGYCAGCTGTGACATACTGACCTTTTCAGGCACCATCTTAGCTTCTCCATGATGTCACAGACATAAACAGTGGGTGGGCAGGCAGAGCTCACTATAGTGTCTTATAGGCCTATAATCAGAATCAGTTTTATTGGCCAAGTATGTTGCTCTCTATGGTTCTAATTTATCTGAGATGCATAAATACCTGATGGTAATCCTATAAGGTAAATGCCTCAGTGACTCTACACCAGTTGGACAGATCTTAGGGAAGCTCAATCCATTTCTTGGAATTAGGACACAGCAGACAGTAAAAACCCAATCCTATGAAGAAAATACTAAACAACAACAACAACAACAACAACAACAACAACAACAACAACAACAAATGTAATGGAGCACAATGTGTACCCATGACGCCCCCTTAATATTTCTGTCTGCCCCCTCAAGTATGCATTCCTAAAACCGGCCCTGGGTGTCACTTAAAGAGAGCTGTCCATGCTCAGAAACCATCAAACCTGAATGAACTAGAGATGTTTTGTAAAGAAGAATGGTCTAAAATACCTTCAGCCACAATCCAGACTCTCATTAGAAGCTATAGGAAGCGTTTAGAGGCTGTTATTTCTGTGAAAGGAGGAGCTACTAAATATTGAGGTAAGGTTTTTTTTGGTGCCCAAATTTATGCACCTGCCTAATTTTGTTGAACCAATTATTGCACACTTTCTGTAAATCATTTAAACTTCGTTTCACTTCTCAAATATCCCTGTGTTTGTCCCATGTATGATTTATTTAACTGATATTTTTAATCCAAACAATCAATGATTTATAAAGGTAAATCAGGAAAATTAACAAGGCTGCCTAAACTTTTTCATATGACTGTATGTAGATTAAAACTGAACCTCCCAGACGAATATCTTCATCCAACCAAGATATTTTAAGTTACTACAACTTAATGGCTTTATTTTGAAAGAAAGACATATTGTGTATAAAGTTGAGCAACTTGATAAAGGTGGAAATTGTTTATCAGTTATTATGTGTACTTACATATGAGAACAACCAGGTGGAAATTTACTTTGATGTTCAGTAGTTTCTGCACAAAGAAAGGAAGAGGACTGAATTAGCCTTCACTAACTATATCATTAAAAAAGAAGAATAACAACTACAACAATGCTGTTTACCTGCAGCAGGGCAGCTGCTCGTGGTCTGAGCAGTTCTGATCCTGGAAGCAGGAACTGAGCCTGAAGACAAGCCCCGACTTTGTCTGGGTGCTGGAACAGGATGACTTCGTCTTTCTGTGTCCTCTTGTTCCTTCCTGTCTGTCTGCCTGTTTTCTTCATCAGCTTGTGGCGTTTTCCTCGCTGGTTTCTTTTGTAACACCATTGTCTGAGTGTAGCGAGGCACGCTGGTGATAGCCGATCCATCCAAAGAGTACAAACCTGAAAACCCTGACTGAACCCCACGTTTGGGTTGATCAGCAGCGGGAGACGTTTGAGCGTCTTTGACGTGGTCAGAACAGTCAACCAAATGACTAGAGTGGCAAATTTTACACCTGAACGACAAATAAAGTAAATAAAAACATACTTATTAATAGAAGGTCTAAAACTCCTTGACATGTTGCACGTGGCCAAGCAGAAGCAGTGAAAACCAGCTGCTCTAACCTGAAACAGCTGCGGTGATAAAGCTTCCCGCCACTCAGCCGTCTCTGGATGAGGTGGACGGGCTGAGAGCAGGAATCACACCTCGCCTGGGGGAAATGTTCTCTGCTGGTTTCCAGATCAATCGAGCTCTGAAAGGAGAAGAGAAACCAGCTGCTCAGACCAACGTCGCTCCGAGCTCTGAACGGTGAGAGAAAACAAGCTGCTACCTTAAAGCTCCTCAGACCATCAGAAGTTTCATTGCTCTTTAGGATGTGGGAGGATCTTTGTTTGGAGAGAAATGCTGCAAAGATGGAGAATAATCAAAAGTCATTTATAGCAGATTCACAGTATTTATGAGTAGTAAAGAGTTAAAAACAATGCATGTATCATCAGACTTTCACACGTCTCAATTAGAAACTTAAATAAAAACAATGTGACCACACTGCAGATGGTCAGAATAAAAAAAGAGGCATTTTTACTTGGATGAAAATGACAACATCGCAGCATGAGAGGCGTATCCCAGCAGTAAAGCACGGTGGTGCAGTGATCAACATTTGAGTCAAACCTTTAAATTCTTTCAAAATGTCAGTAATCTGTGCTTTAGAAGCCAGTCTGGTATCTCGTCTGTGACGGCACAAGTAAAGGACTGAGCAAAAGTTTTGAACCGTTAGTGGTGCTCAGAAATTTATCATTTAAATTTGTCCTGATTGATCGTTTTTTCAGAAGAGATGTTTTTTTTACATTTGACTGCATTTTCACTCAGTTTCAGTTCAGTACCTGGCTGTGGCAGCATGTTGTGCATAAACCAAAAAAAAGGAGAATTGGAGGACAGAAGAAGTTGTTTCACACCTAAAATTATCTCTAGAAAATTAGCAGCAAATAGCTTCAGAAAACAAGAATAAAACAGTCAGCCTGTATATCACTGGGCTACGACTGTAGCTGGAGACACAAAATTGTAAGAAAATACGAAACTGGAATCACTAAATTAGGACTTATAACATGTTTCAAGTAATAATACACAGTAAATACAAGTAAATTGCAATTTTCATGTGAATACAGGGCAATTTCTTAACTCAAAGAGTTTTAATTATGGCAATTGTCTTAAAATATTAAAATATATTAAATTTGTTTGGTCTCCAATAAAGGAAATTAGTTCATGTGTTCATGCAAGAAATTGTAAAGCATCTTTGGTGGTCTCAAAAAATGCTATAATAAGAATAATGAATTATTATTA